TAAAATCATATACTTTAAACAATCTGTCCAAAGCATCAACTCCTAATTTCTCGCCGTTCACCTTCAATCAATTTTCCGACTGTGATGTTAAAAAGAACGTTTTGTCCATATCGTCAAGTGCCATTGGATGTGATGAAATTAGCCGTAAAATGATCGTTCCCCTGATTGACATTATTCTCCCTATCTTAACTCATATTCTCAATTACTCCATATCCTCTGAATCCTTTCCTCGAATTTGGAAGGAAGCAAACATCATTCCTCTTCCTAAAAAGAAGAACCCCTGTTCTCCCTCAGATTATCGACCTATATCTATCCTTCCATTCCTTTCAAAGGTCCTTGAACGTTTAGTCTCTGCACAACTTAACCTCATCCTAAATAAAAACTCCCTTCTTGACTCCTTTCAATCGGGGTTCAGACTTGGTCATAGTACGGTTACAGCGTTACTTAAAATCACAGATGATATTCGCTGGGGTATGGACCAAAAGTAGCTCACTATACTTACGCTACTGGATTTCAGTAACGCTTTTAACACCGTCGATTTTGATGTAATGCTGAGTCTGCTACGCTCTATTAACATATCTCCAGCGGCAATTGAATGGTTTCAAAGCTATTTGCCTGGCCGCCGGCAGCGGGTTATGTTAGGGGGTGCCACATCTTCGTGGTGCGAACTAATTGCTGGTGTACCACAAGGTGGCGTGTTGTCTCCTCTCCCTTTCTCTGTGTTTATTAATTCTGTTACTTCACGAATTTCTTCTCTCTACCATTTGTATACAGATGATTTTCAAGTTTACTCCCATACATCACTCCAGAACCTTCCCAATGCCATCAATATCTCTAATATGAATCTTGCTGCAATACATGATTGGGGCAGGTCATTCGGGCTCAATTTAAATCCCAATAAGACACAAGCCATTATTGTTGGAAATAGTACTGTAATTTCCAGAATTTGTTGCGATAACCTACCACCTATTATTATTGATGGTGTTGTGATACCTTTTAGCAAATCTGTAAAAGACCTAGGATTACACATTGATCAAAATCTTTCTTGGTCCCTACATATTAAATAGTCCAGTAGAAAGATGTTCGCGGCATCATCTTCCTTACCACGTTTGCGTAACTCATTACCGATTTCTACTAGAATTTTACTGGCACAGGCCTTGTTACTCCCTATCCTTGATTATGCTGATGTATGCTATTCTAATCTTACTGAGGATCAATTAAATAAACTTGAGCGTCTTCAGAATTTCGCTATTAGGTTCATATTTGGCCTCCGCAAATATGATGATGTTTCTGAGTTTCGCACTAAACTCAAGTGGCTTCCTATCAGACTTCGTCGAAATACTCACATTCTATCTCAACTGTACTGTGTACTATTTGATCCGAAAACACTGATCCGAAAACACCGAAGTATTTAAAGGAAAAATTTGAGTTTGCGGATGCAGATAAAGATCATTCCAGATTATCCGATAAACTTATTTTGCGAATGCCTGCTCACAATTCAAAATTTTTTAATTCTTCCTTTTGTGTCAAAGCAATTAAATTATGGAACTCGCTTTCTTTAACAATTAAGAAAGCCCAAAGCATTGAGACTTTCAAAAAAACTGGTTAAAAATTATTATTTAAATATGTTGTGTTCTACTTAATATATTTCATTATCATATCTACTATACTTGATAAGGTTTGTTTATATGTGGTATGTATATAATATGCAGCTATAATGTGTTACAAAAATATTTATAAATATGTATATTGTATATATATATATATATATATATATATATATATATATATATATATATATATATATGATTATGTATGTATATATATGTTATGTGTTATGAATGATTTTTTATCTACTATTTATGCACACTTCTATATTTTTGTATGTAAAAGATCTCCTTCACCAAGGTTTGCCTGGAAGAGATCGCTGTTTAGCGATAAGGCCATCTAATTGTACATAAATTTATCAATTTAAGTTTGTTGTTCTTTGTATTATTTTGTGTGAAATAAAGAGTATTGTGTGTGTATTTAGTTAGTTAATCATTAATTGAATCCCAATTATTCTTAAGTCGCCGGTATCTATTTTAAATGTGCCACTGATAGGGAAAGACACTGGTTTCTAAGATACAGTTATTACAACTAGTTTAGAATCCAGGGTTCTATTTAATTGTTAAAAGATTTGAGGCAAATAAATAATTTATTATTATTATATTATTATTTATGAAGAATAGATCGTGTGTGTACTCAAACAAATCTAAAAACTACCTCTTGGCAGCTGTCAATTTATTGAACTAGGCATTCCAACTGAAAAATTGGTACCTACATTGTTCGATTCTTAAGAGATATCGATATAGATTCTTTATAGTTGGTTATCATTTACATTTTAATTTAGATAAATACTAGAATATATTAGAAACACATAACTCAGAACACAAAAAATTCTATCGTTTCATATTTATTGCTTACTGCTAATTTTTAGGGATAAAGTTTTATAGATTATTAAAGACTGTGCTAGATTAATTACAAATTAATTTAATCACTTTCACTAGAATTACTTCAGCTGTCGTCATCATAATCGTTGTTTAAATTAATTATTACTCGATTTTCTATAATACATTCAAAATGAATGTCTCTTTCATTGCCATCTATATATAACATTTGTTTTGTTTTCTCTATCAATTTTGCCAAGTAATAATTTGACAAGTGATATTTTACAAATCCTCCTCCGGCGGATCCCATATGGCAAATTATGAGGATCCCACCTTTTCACGTGTTGGCACGTGTTATCTCTTCATGTCTGTGACACAGTGTGGTTAGAGTTTAGCCATATTTTATCAGCGAAGATAATGTTGTCCCAATTGGTTTAATATTTTTATTTCTCAACAAAATGTTATTATTAACATTCATGCCTCTAAATAATTATTTTGTATTTGTCAATTTTTTGGTATCGGAATCACTTTTCTAATGGTTCTTAATGACGATACTACAACTGTACAAAAAACATCTTAACTTACTCGCAACTTTGCCACAGTGGTATTCACAAAAATATTTAAAAAAATAGACTTGTTTAATTCATGACTCATATAGTTTATGCATTTCTTTTGCAACTTTTGACTAAGATAGAATTCCCCGTTACCAGTAAAAGAGTAGAGTTCCGGTATCAGTTCCGTATCCGGTATCCGGTTCTCTACGCTCATCATACGAAATATAGCAACATTAAGCTGCTATTTTACGCCGGTGTTATGTAAGAGCGTGGTCTTTCCCCGGATTGACTGGATTGACCATAATATAGCTGCAAGTAAAGTCACACTGCACGTCAAAATTCAATTTCAACTCAACAAACTTCGAGATAGTAGACGTCTGGTATTGTGGTTACTAATCCATCTTGTTTACAATAATATATCATCGAGGTTTCGAAAGGGATTTTATCTTGCGTGCGTCAGGGCACATTTTCTTGATTATAATTCAGATCGTGAAAACCATTTCCATGCATAGAATAATAGCAACATACAGGACATCGTGACTTATATACATATATGCAAATGAAGTAACTTTTACTTCTAATCTCATTTTCTAGATTATTTTGGGGTTTACCTTTTATTTTTTCATATTTTATATTCCTTAACTAATTAATAGAATCGCGGCGTTACTTTGCGGAACTCCATGATACTAAAGATATTAATAGTTACTTTGCAACCATCCGTTGAATAAAATAAAATGATGTATCTTATCTAGTTTGAAGAGCACCTCCCGCCCTCCCACAATTGCGTGCACTAATCCTGTCACCACTAATCCCAGCACCACTACTCTCAACACCACTCCTCTAGGAAAGACATACTATCGACGATTATACGACACGTGTTTCGCCTCTACACGAGGCATCTTCAGGTGATATTGACTCTACGGTGGCTGACCGCTAAGTAAAAACTTAAGATGCTGCCGTAGAGTTACATAGAGAGTGTCTTTCCTATAGCAGTGGTGTTGGGAGTAGTGGTGTTGGGATTTGTGGTGACGGGATTAGTGCACGCAATTGTTTGAGGGTGGGAGGTGCTCTTCAAACTAAGTAAGACACATCATTTTATTTTATTGAACGGATGGTTGTAAAGTAACTATTAATATATTTAGTATTCCTTAACTGTTTTTCTTTGGAAAATTAAAACCTTATAAAAATAAGAATGTGCCTGAATGTATTAGAGTATGACGTGGTAGGTAATGAGTGGAAGTGTGCGGAGCAGGTAAGACTGCATAAACCGCAAACTTAATAATAATAATAATACGTGGCGGACCGCTCCAGGTTCAAATGCAGAAGGCGGTGCTCCTCGATACCGCCCGCATCGTCCGCCGGTTTCTTTCCCTTTCCCCCTAACCCTCGGCCGTTTGGTCTCCCCTGCCGAGGGCCTCCATCTGGTTGGGCTTTTATTTATTTATGTACTTTTATATTTATTTTATGTTATTGATATTTATGTATGTATATTTATCTTTTCATTTTCATTTATAATTATATATTTATATAACCCAACCAGATGAGAAAACTATATAGATACCCCATAATAATAATAATAATAAATAATAATAAGTGCCTAGGCAAAATTGTGGGTGCAAAGGTCCGTTTGTGCATATGACCGAACCACGAAACGGTGCCGGGCTTGGGCGTCTCCCGTTATTTGGCGCCCATAAATGGATGATGGTACAAAGAGGAACGCGCATAGGGACGCTGCCTGGGGGTCACCGGGGCGCGTCTGGAGCTGGCGCTGGACGCGGCAGCATGCGGGCCGCCAGCCGAGCGCGAGGAGCTGTACGATCACCTAGGAGCCCTCCGCATCCATCATCCCCACCAGAAGGCTTGGTGTCGGCTGGGTCTTCTCGGACTCAGCAAGCGGCACCCGCCGCTGGTGGAGCACGTCGCATGCGTTGGTCACAAACAATGAACGCAAACGCACTGCTGGGCGTACTTTAGGGCAAAAGGGGAAGAAACCGGATGTTTGGCATATCGGGCTCGGATGCATCGCTTCTTTGCAGAGCTGGAGCCATCTCTATCCGTCACTGAGCAAAACCTGGCAGACCGAGTTCGGTACATCCTGCGCTCCAACATATTTGGTGACGCCGAACTCGAACGACTACGACGTGGGGCTGTTCCCTCATCGGATGGAAATGCTACGGCTGGGAATGCGGCGCCACTAATTGCGCAGCAAACTGCAAATGTGAACGCTGCCGTCAATATTCCATTTGTGGTTGATTCAGACGATGATGGAATAGTCCCCCACGAACTAGAGAAAATGAGGAGCATATTGGAAGAGTCGATGCTGGAAACGCGCAGCATGCCTCTCGAAAATCGACCGCGACTTCCCCGCATACCCCTTAGCAAGCAAAATCGGGCTGTCGTGCGGGCTCTTAACCCAATGCTGGTGACCTATTTGGAAGCCAGCCGGGACCTTTGCGAGACGGACTCAATTCTTTTTGGCGCCGCACTGGCAGTATGCCGTATTATTGGCGCCAAACTTCCCATGGCTGGACGTGCTACTCGACAAGGTAGTGCCATCCCAGCCTGGAGAAAAAGAATCGAGGACCGTATCGCAAAGGCAAGGGCCCTTATCGGCAGACTGACAAGCTTCAGGTTGGGTAATATTAGACCGAGAGTTGTGCGCACCGTTAGAATGGCGTTTGCTGGGACAAATATTAGTTTGTCCCAGCCGGATATCACGCAGAAACTAACGGAGCGCATAGATGACCTGAAGCAAAAAATCGCTGCTTGGGGGAAGCGGATTCGACGATTTAGCGAGAGGTCAAGGCGGTTCAACCAAAATCGTCTCTTCCAGAGTGATCAGAAGAGGCTCTATAAATCATTGGAGCGACCAGAGGTATGTGGAACGGGCCCAGGACCGGATCAGGCTGACACTGTCGCATTTTGGCGTGGCCTGTGGTCAGAGCCCGTAAACCACAGCGAGGGCCCTTTAATGGAAGTTATGGCGAACCAAAGTGGGAGTGTTACGCCTATGGACCCAGTCACCATAACGCTGGAAGACGTGGCTGAGGCAGTCCGTAGGGCCCCTTACTGGAAAAGTCAGGGGCTCGACGGGCTGCATCATTACTGGCTGAAGGGGTTCGTAGTGTGTCACGCTGTGCTCGCCCGACAGTTTCAAGAGGCTCTAAATCAGAAGTCGCTCCCGAGCCTCTTCCCTACTGGGATCACCCACTTGATTCCTAAAGATCAGGATACCACAGACCCGAGCAAATACCGCCCCATCACGTGTCTACCCACCATAAATAAGACATTGACATCCATTTTGATCGCGAGAATCACTTGTCACCTTGAGCTAAATCAGGTGATGTCACGCGCTCAAAATGGATGTTGGGGCGGTGGTCGTGGAACTAAGGAACCACTCCTCAATTGTCAAAGTGGTGAAACGCAACCGTCGGAACTTCTCCGCCTGGATAGACTACAGAAAGGCATTCGACTCGGTACCCCATACATGGCTAAAGAGAGTCCTCGAGCTGTATAAGATAGACTGTACAGTTAGACTTCCTCGAGCAGTGTATGGGGCAGTGGAGTACGATCCTCTGTTATCAGGGCGAGCGGATGTTGGCTGCGGAGAACCACATAAGGATAAGAAGGTGTATCTTCCAGGGCGATTGTCTGAGTCCAATCTGGTTCTGCCTCTCTCTGAACCCTCTCAGTACCTTACTGGAGGGCTCCGGGAGAGGATTTCAGCTACGGAAAGGAGGAATAAAAGTGACCCACCTTTTCTATATGGATGACCTCAAGTTATTCGCCTCCAGTCGCTCCCATCTTATGGAATTGCTAAACATCACTTGTGAATTTAGCAATTCCATTGGAATGGAGCTGGGTACGGATAAGTGTGCGGTCCTTCATGTTGAAAGGGGAAAGGTTGCTAACTCTGAGGGCATAGATTTATCTATGCTCGTCAACTTAAAGACCCTTTCCGAGGCTGAAACGTACCGATTCCTGGGTATGTCACAGAACATCGGTATCGATGAGGCTGGTATGAAACAGTCAGTTTGCGACGTGTTTTATGCACGCTTGACCAAAGTGCTTAACAGCCTTTTGTCCGGTGTGAATAAGACACACGCATATAACGGTTGGGTCATGCCTGTCCTCATATATACCTTTGGCATACTCAGGTGGACTCAGACCGAACTTAACGCCCTGGATAGAAAAGTCCGCACTACCATGACGTCCCATAGGATGCATCATCCGAGATCGTCGGTAATGAGGCTGTACTTGCCGCGAAAGCATGGTGGGCGTGGTTTTCTGAGCGCGCTCACCATGCATAATCGCGAAGTGGTGCAGCCTCCGTGACTACTTCCTGGCGAGATCGGATGATCCATTCTATAATGACGTCATTTCTAGTGATAAAGGGCTTACCCCTCTATCCTTAGCCCACGAGCAATGGCAGGACCCAGCAGTGCTTAGCATTTCCGACCCGGAGACCGTATGGAAGGAGAAGGAGCTCCACGGGAGGTACTACAGGGCTCTTCATGAGCCCTTCGTAGATACAGTCGCCTCCCTCAACTGTCTACGTTTCGGTGACCTCTTCGGGGAAACCGAGGGTTTTGTCTGTGCAATACAGGATCAGGTTATTAAGACCAGCAACTATCGGAGATACATCCTAAAGGATGGCACCGTCGACGTCTGTCGAGCTTGTCGCCATCCCGGTGAGTCACTTAGGCATGTCATCTCCGGTTGTTCGGCACTTTCTAACTCTGAGTACTTGCACAGGCACAACCTAGTAGCCAGAATTCTACACCAGGAGCTCGCTCTGAAATACGGTCTCGTGGACCGGAAATTGCCGTATTACAAGTACTTGCCGGAAGCCGTGCTCGAAAATGACCGCGCCAGGCTCTACTGGGACCGGGCCATCATCGCAGACAGGACTATTCTTGCGAATAAGCCTGATATTGTGCTGATGGACCGGGCACAGTCAAGGATATTTTTGGTCGACATTACCATTCCGTATGACGAGAACCTCGTGAAAGCCGAAACAGAAAAGCAAACAAAATATCTGGACCTGGCTCACGAGGTGACCGACTTGTGGGGTGGTCTGCCGACCGAAATTATTCCTGTAGCCGTCTCTGCAAACGGGCTAATCCCAGTCAGCCTCTCGGGTCATCTGAGGCGACTGGGACTACGTGGCGGACCGCTCCAGGCTCAAATGCAGAAGGCGGTGCTCCTCGATACCGCCCGCATCGTCCGCCGGTTTCTTTCCCTTTCCCCCTAACCCTCGGCCGTTTGGTCTCCCCTGCCGAGGGCCTCCATCTGGTTGGGCTTTTATTTATTTAAGTATTTTTATATTTATTTTATGTTATTGATATTTATGTATATTTATCTTTTCATTCTCATTTATAATTATGTGTTTATAGAACCCAACCAGATGAGAAAACTATATAGATACCCCACAATAATAATAATAACAATAATCCTCGATACCGCCCGCATTGTCCGCCGGTTTCCCTTTCCCTTTCCCCCTAACCCTCGGCCGTCTGGTGTCCCCTGCCGAGGGCTCCCATCTGGTTGGATCTTATTTATTTGTGTAGTTTTTGTATTTATTTTATTTTATTGATATTTATGTACATTTATCTTTTCATTTTAATTTATAATTATATATTTATAGAACCCAACCAGGTGAGAAAATTATATAGATACCCCAATGATAATAAAACCATTTAATCAACTCAACAAACAACACTGGCAAAAAATAAACAATCAACATGTACATATGCAGAAAACAACAAGTATAATTAGTATTAGCGAAAAATAAAAAAAAAAATAAAAAAAGAAGAAAAACTATAACATTCAACAAAAAATAAAATCTATGTACAAGAAATGTGAGCGTTGCAATGCTGAGTCGGTAGGGTCAGCTGCTCAGCATAAGCTGACACCCCCATTGGGATGACCAGCGCTGGTATTCCGCAGAAACCCGTGTGTGTGTTAACGCGTCGGTCAGATGCGAGAGTGAAATACTTAATGTAACGAAGGCGCAAATAAAATTGAATATTAATCATTTCCAACGAATTTCTTAATGTAACAAAGGCATAAATAAAATTGAATAGTATGTGAGAAGTCTATAATTAACAATCAATAAATACGGCAACCGCGATTTTTACATAAAATCGTAAACTGAACATATAATATAACCTAGTTTTTTCTTATGGGATTTGTGCTTGTTTTTCTAAGCTATCTTTTTTTGGATTTCCATAAGAAAAAGTCTGATTTTAAATCTAAACGACGATTTCGTTTGTGCGTTCCTAATTGGTGGTGGGATGTAATTCCCGCATTTGGTTGCTGCATATCGAAAGCTGCCTCTAAATATTGCGGATCTATGTCGCGGTATTTTTAGGTGGCGACTGCGATTACCGCTGATGTTCCCTCTACTCCATTCTAATTTGCTGCTAGGATAACTAGGTGTCTGCGATCTCAAAATGCCAAAAAGTAGACATGCTAAATGGTGCTGTCTGCGGTGTCTCATGGTTAAAATGTTGTGTTGATTCAAAAAGGGTGTTACGTGGCTACGTTAACGTAACGTAAGGTGGTTACGTGTGAACTTCGCCGTCCCTTACAGTTCCTTCCAAAGTTGCTCTCCGATATTCTGTATCGATCACAGAATTGTTTTTACAAATCTGATGAGTGAAGTTTTATCAAGCCAGATTTAAATATCTTGACATTTACAAATTGGAAACGTTTATATACATGCGATATACATAATTTATGATGCAATTTTGTTTTTATTTTGCTCGCGACGTCTCCAGCATCAACGCGTCAAATTTGAAAATTACTTAAAAGTGTCTTATGTACACACTCAACGTACCATCAATGAGCCACATGCAAGTCAGAGTAACGATCCAAGAGCAAGTCTTATCCGACACTATTCCGATGATATCCCGGACAACAGTCTGAGCGAGATTAGAATGGCTCTCCAGCACCTTAAAAACGGCAGGGCTCCAGGTGAGGATGGAATTACAGCGGAGGATCTTCAACTCCGTACTCCATGGTGGCACTACTCCGGAGGCGTGGAGCAGAAGTGCGGTAGTCTTGTTCTTTAAGAAAAGCGACAACGCTCTCTTGAAGAACTACAGACCGATTTCGCTTGTGAGCCACGTCTACGTGCTGTTTTCGAGAGTCATTGCGAATCGTCTCGCACGTAGATTCGACGACTTCCAGCCTCACGAACAAGCCGGTTTCCGAAAAGGCTTTAGTACTGTAGACCACATACATACCCTGCGGCAGATTGTACAGAAGACCGAAGAGTACAATCTGCCACTTTGCCTGGCGTATGTGGACCACGAGAAAGCTTTTAATTACGTCGAAATTTGGGCGGTGTTGCAGTCCGTTCAGCGGTACCAAGTTGACTGTCGGTATATCGAAGTGCTGAAGTGTTTGTACAGTAGGGCTACGATGACTATCCGAGTACAGAACCAGAGTTCGAAACCTATCCAACTGCAGAGAGCTGTAAGACAGGGTGACGTTATATCTCCGAAACTCTTCACCGCTGCATTGGAAGACGTTTTAAAGCTACTGGACTGGAAAGGATACAGTATTAACATCAATGGCGAATACATCACTGACCTTCGATTTGCCGCCGATATAGTCCTTATGGCAGAATCGCTGTAGAACCTAAGCACTATGCTCAATGACCTTAATTGTGTCTCCCAACGGATGGGTCTAAAGATGAACATAGACAAAACAAAGATCATGTCTAATGTCCATGTCACACCTATGCCGGTAGTTGTTGGAAGCACTATGCTCGAAGTTGTTGAGGAGTACGTTTACCTAGGATAAATAGTCAGACTAGGTAAGTCCAACGTCGACCGGGAGGTCAATCGACGGATTCAACTCGGCTGGGCAGCGTTTGGTAAATCACGACACATCTTCTTGCCCAGTGCTTGTTGCCAGTAATGACTTACGGATCTGAGACGTGGTACTACACTGCTGGCCGTATGATGACGCTCAAGGTCGCTCAGCGAGCTATGGAGAGAGCTATGCTCAGAGTTTCTCTGCGTGATAGACTTAGAAATGAGCATATCTGTAGTAAAACCAAAGTGACTGACATAGCCCAACGGATAAGTAAGATGAAGTGGCAATGGGCCGGCCATATAGCTTGAAGAACCGATAACCGACGGAGAAGAAATTTTTTCGAGTGGCAGCCTCGTTCTGGTACGCGTAGTGTAGGGTGACCCCCCACTAGATGGAGTGACGACCTGGTAAGACATGCAGGAAGTCGATGGATACAGGTGGCTCAGGACCGTGCTTTGTGGCATTACTTGGCGGAGGCCTATATTTAGCTGTGGACTTGTGAAGGGCTGTAATAGTGATGAGTGATGATTAAAAGTTATATATAAAATCCAATGATATACTATTTATTATCATCATCATCAATACAACCCTCCAAATTTTCATGGCTGAAAATAGGCCTTCAGGTTGCTTATATTATTTAGAAAGGTTATATTAGTTACATTAATACGGTATATGTTCAATGTTACAAAAAATGTTGGTGGAGAAAGTTTAGAATATGACTCGTCGTTTTATTTCCAATTCACGTGAAAGCTCTATATATCACACGATTATGTGAAAAGAACCGTACTAAGTTGACAATAATCAGACACGTTTCACTAGGGTTCAGACGTTTCATTTGTTATGTCATAGAATGCCTAATACCTGTTACCTAATAAAACCTTATTATTTATGCGCAATGGATATTTTTAAACATACACTTGAAAGCCAATTCCATTTTAAGGGTTTCTTACAAATTAAAATTAAAAGGGCTGATGTTACTAGTGTAAAACTAAAAGAGAAAAACGAATTGCTTACGTGGTAGCATTGAATTAATATGAAGTACGTTCTAGAATAGATGCTGAAAGTTGATTGTCTATAACACGTGTTAGAAACTTACTTAGTGCCATAAAAAGGTACTTTGTGCATGCTTCCAATCGTCCCACACCGCTGCACGTACTATTTTAGTACGTAATGCATGTTATTTAAATGCGTTATAGAATCACGCAGTGGTATATCGTCTTATAATTATAACTAAATAGTTAAATAATGATATTAAAACATATTCAAAATTAATAAAAGCAATAATGAAAGAAGAGCATTCACTCTTCAACTTCTGCTCTATACGAAACTTTAAATATATTTAATTAGGACTTCCGAAACCCTACTTCGGATCAATTTAAAACTTTACGAAAGGAAAGTTAAAAAGAATAAGCAGCTGCTGACATTCAGTGTAAACCAAAATTACATTTACCAACTTCGATATAGTAATTGCCTCTAGCTAATAGAAATGACAATGGAGCTTCTAAAATTTCATTGTAAGAAATGCAATCGATAGCTCCGCCACAAGCGGGGTCACGCACGTTCAGAAGTCAACTTTACAACGTTTTACGTAATGTATTTTTCTTTTTCTTTATATCGGAGTTAGAAAACGAGAAGTTATTCAATACATATTTTTTGTGTATTTACACAGTTTTCTTGGAAAAAGTTGAACCGATTTAATTATTTTTAAAGTAACCAGCCCTACGGTTTTTTCACCTGACTTCAAAAGAAGGAGGATGTACTTAATTCGACTGCATTTTTACGTGTGTTACCTCAGAACTTATACACACATACAATGGTACATACTTCTCATGTGGTCCCATATAAATTTAAATAAGGTCTGACCAGTCGCTTTTGAGTTATCCTTAATAAAGCGTATTTAATTGACTTCGACTACATTGACTGGTTTTTGATGATGTTAGCCTTTTGACTACATACAGCCATTCTACGACGACGACTGAAGATAATATCAGTGTTGTGCGGCGTATGATAGAGACTGACAAAAGAGTGACTTATCAGCAGATTTGGACAAGCCTAGGCATTGGTATGGGTCAAGTGCACGAAACCCTCCATGAACATTTAGGGGTCAGGAAGCTTTGTGCCTCGTGGATACCTCATAATTTGACGGAAGCCTCAAAACTCCGACGTGTTGATTGGGGTCCTGAAATGGTTCAAAGATTTAATGGAGGTGACTTAAATGCTATTTTCAACATACTTACGGGTGACGAAAGCTGGATTTATTGTTATGATCCTGAAACTAAGTGACAGTCTGTCGTCTGGGTGTTTCCTTTCGAAGAGTGGCCAACTAAAGTAAAGAGAGGTCGAAGTGAGGGAAAAAAGATGGTGGCCTCGTTCTTCAGAAGGACAGGTCATTACGCAACAATTGTTTCAGAGGATCCAAAAACAGTTAGTGCAAAGTGGTACTGGTCTTGAAAAAAGTTCGGGAGAAACAACCTCGCAGTAGGATTCTCCTTCACTGCGACAACGCCTCGTCGCACAACGCCAAGCAAACGATCGACTACTTGGCGACGTCAGACGTAGAATTACTAGGTCACCCGCTCTATAGCCCCGACTTCGCACCTTGCGATTTTTATTTATTTCGGAAAATAAAAGAAAAACTAAGAGGAAATCGTTTTATGGACGCCGAAGAAGCAGTGTTTAAATAAAAAAGTTAGAGTATAAATAATGTACACTATGGGCTGAGAGTCTGGTGTCTATACTAGGCGGAAACCTGTGTTACGGATCACCAGGGTCTCCTGCACAGGATATTATCGTGTGTGTGTGTGTGTTTGTATGTGTGAGTGATGTATTTGTAAATTACGCCATGTATAAAACGGCCATTTTTAAGTTAGTTGTCTTTGGCTAATTTCACAAAGAATATTAGGTTATATATTAGGCAATATTAGGGTATATATTAGGGAATATTAGGGTTTATATTAGGGAATATTAGGGTTTTACTTTAATATTCCCTAATATATACATAGAAAATAATTTAATTTTAAATAATATATAATTTAAAAAATAATTTAAGTGGCTGATGAAAGCAAAGTGCGGGACTATTAGCATCCTTAGGACATAACCCCATTTTTGTGACAGTTAATATTTTGTATTGCAAAATATAACTAAACAGTTGAAATAAATAACCAACTACAAGTAAACTCTTTTGGTATTATAACATATTATATGCACTAAGCATAATTTTGACGAAATTTAACACGTTAATACATGTATTCATTTAAAATATGCTTACCGCGTGACAAGCGTAAATAATAAATTTGAGGTTGGCTTTTCCGAACGCAAATTAGAAAGGGCGACTGATATTTAATTTATTTGTCATTACTCAGAAGCAATTTATACCGTACTTAGTAATTTCTTATCACGATTTTGTTTCACAGAACTTTGTTACAATACCTAATGAGTTCACGTCTATGTTCTTTGAAAATCGTCTGGTTAAAGTTCGCGCTTAATTAATGCCTAAACTACACGATGATAGTCGCTAGCCAATGTACAGAATACCGGCTATATAAACACCGAAAACTGCCCTAATGCAAGAAAAAGTCCTATTTAGTTATCAATACAACATTTCATTTAATTGAAGACAAACAGCTTAATAAATCAATCCTATAAATATTCCATGCTCCATCCATAGATAATAAACATACAATATTTCGTATGAAAACAATGCTTTTAAGATTCTGACTTCAGTCAGAGTGACTTGCTAGTCGCGACTAACGTATGATGAGCATAGATACCAGTGCAACATGCACGTATGCTAGATAATAGGTAATGGCGTTTATTTGTATAGAACTCCGAATTCTAAGTGATTTTTATTTCTCATTTAAAATAGCAAACACTACTGAGTTAATTTTTACTATTGTACTAGGTTGACGTTGAACTTCTCGTAATAGGTAATAACACTTATCAATGAGTTATAGAAATGCATTCTATGTCTTTCGAATGTTAAATTCGTTTGTATCCAAGGCCAGAAAAAACTAAATTAAAAACTAAATACTCATTTTTAACTTCCCGCTAAGAAAATCAAAAATTTAAAAAATCGAGAAGTTATTGTTTTTCCCCCGTTTTTCAAAAATTGAGTTTTCATCAAATCTTGACGTTTTGAGGTCACAAGAAGCCTGCCTGATAATTTTGTCTGTATGTCTGTATGTAGGTGTGTGTGTGTGTGTGTGTGTGTGTGTGTGTGTGTGTGTGTGTGTGTGTGTGTGTGTGTGTGTGTGTGTGTGTGTTTTGTGTGTGTGTGTGTGTGTGTGTACGCGTGCGTGTATGCGTGCGTGCGTGTGTGCGTGTGTGAGTGCGTGCATGCGTGCGTGCGTGAGAGCCTGCGTGCGTGTGTTTTGCGTGCGTACGTGCGTGTGAGCCTGCGTGCGTGCGTTCGTGCGTGCGTACGTGCGAGCGTACGTGCGTGCGTGCGTATGTGCGTGCGTGTGTGCGTGCGTGTGTGTGTGTGTGTGTGTGAGTGTGTGTGTGTGTGTGTGTGCATGAGTGCGTGCGTGCATGCGTGCGCTCGGGCGTGCGTGCGTGCGTGCGGGCATCGGTGAGTTCGTGCGTGCGTGCGTGTGTGTTTGTGTGTATGGATGTATGTAAACCTCTTATAACTTTTGACTGATTGAAATGAACTAAGCGAATTTCCAAAGTGTTTAATCAAACTTAGATTTTCCATGGATATCAACTAATTCAAACTAGTAGATTTTGAGATATCTCAAAAATAAAATTTTTGAAAAAATATTTTTTGGAATAACTTATATATGATTTTACCGACGGATTCCAAAAAGCTCTTAACCTTGAAAAACCACTTCGATCACCGCCGGTCTGATCAAAATCTGTTGATTCGTTCGTGAGTATCGTTAACGAAACATTTAAAAAAAATTGATTTTTTAAATTACTCCGATATTTCATTTTCAACGTCATATTTTTTTAATAGTGATGAGTGATGATTAAAAGTTATATATAAAATACAATGTTATACTATTTATTATCATCATCATCAATACAACCCTCCAAATTTCATGGCTGAAAATAGGCCTTCAGGTTGCTTATATTATTTAGAAAGGTTATATTAGTTACATTAATACTGTTGCATGAATAAGTCAACTAGCGCCATCTAGTGTCAGGAACGAGAGCGAGGGGAGCATTGAGAAAATGACATCACAAATCACTCAACCGACAGCGCCTAGTCGAAACTCGAACGCTCGGTACCTTGCGCGTGTTTACTTGAACATTCTGGATATTTCTTTGCTAATTTAAATATATAGGGGCTGCAAGATTCGAGGGGCAGAGTTGAACTCGGCGACACAAGCGAAGCTTCGGAGCGGAATTAAGTGAAATAGTGTGTTTAATTATTAGTGTTTTTAGTTTTAATTTGTGTAAAGTAAATTAAAGTGTTAATTTAGGTAATTTTATCGGCAATTTTTATTGTCACGAACCTCAAGCTCGTAACAATACGGTATATGTTCAATGTTACAAAAAATGTTGGTGGAGAAAGTTTAGAATATGACTCGTCGTTTTATTTCCAATTCACGTGAAAGCTCTATATATCACACGATTATGTGAAAAGAACCGTACTAAGTTGACAATAATCAGACACGTTTCACTAGGGTTCAGACGTTTCATTTGTTATGTCATAGAATGCCTAATACCTGTTACCTAATAAAACCTTATTATTTATGCGCAATGGATATTTTTAAACATACACTTGAAAGCCAATTCCATTTTATGGGTTTCTTACAAATTAAAATTAAAAGGGCTGATGTTACTAGTGTAAAACTAAAAGAGAAAAACGAATTGCTTACGTGGTAGCATTGAATTAATATGAAGTACGTTCTAGAATAGATGCTGAAAGTTGATTGTCTATAACACGTGTTAGAAACTTACTTAGTGCCATAAAAAGGTACTTTGTGCATGCTTCCAATCGTCCCACACCGCTGCACGTACTATTTTAGTACGTAATGCATGTTATTTAAATGCGTTATAGAATCACGCAGTGGTATATCGTCTTATAATTATAACTAAATAGTTAAATAATGATATTAAAACATATTCAAAATTAATAAAAGCAATAATGAAAGAAGAGCATTCTCTCTTCAACTTCTGCTCTATACGAAACTTTAAATATATTTAATTAGGACTTCCGAAACCCTACTTCGGATCAATTTAAAACTTTACGAAAGGAAAGTTAAAAAGAATAAGCAGCTGCTGACATTCAGTGTAAACCAAAATTACATTTACCAACTTCGATATAGTAATTGCCTCTAGCTAATAGAAATGACAATGGAGCTTCTAAAATTTCATTGTAAGAAATGCAATCGATAGCTCCGCCACAAGCGGGGTCACGCACGTTCAGAAGTCAACTTTACAACGTTTTACGTAATGTATTTTTCTTTTTCTTTATATCGGAGTTAGAAAACGAGAAGTTATTCAATACATATTTTTTGTGTATTTTCACAGTTTTCTTGGAAAAAGTTGAACCGATTTAATTATTTTTAAAGTAACCAGCCTTACGGTTTTTTCACCTGACTTCAAAAGAAGGAGGATGTTCTTAATTCGACTGCATTTTTACGTGTGTTACCTCAGAACTTATACACACATACAATGGTACATACTTCTCATGTGGTCCCATATAAATTTAAATAAGGTCTGACCAGTCGCTTTTGAGTTATCCTTAAGAAAGCGTATTTAATTGACTTCGACTACATTGACTGGTTTTTGATGATGTTAGCCTTTTGACTACATACAGCCATTCTACGACGACGACTGAAGATAATATCAGTGTTGTGCGGCGTATGATAGAGACTGACAAAAGAGTGACTTATCAGCAGATTTGGACAAACCTAGTCATCGGTATGGGTCAAGTGCACGAAACCCTCCATGAACATTTAGGGGTCAGGAAACTTTGTGCCTCATGGATACCTCATAATTTGACGGAGGCCTCAAAACTCCGACGTGTTGATTGGGGTCCTGAAATGGTTCAAAGATTTAATGGAGGTGACTTAAATGCTATTTTCAACATACTTACGGGTGACGAAAGCTGGATTTATTGTTATGATCCTGAAACTAAGTGACAGTCTGTCGTCTGGGTGTTTCCTTTCGAAGAGTGGCCAACTAAAGTAAAGAGAGGTCGAAGTGAGGGAAAAAAGATGGTGGCCTCGTTCTTCAGAAGGATAGGTCATTACGCAACAATTGTTTCAGAGGATCCAAAAACAGTTAGTGCAAAGTGGTACTGGTCTTGAAAAAAGTTCGGGAGAAACAACCTCGCAGTAGGATCCTCCTTCACTGCGACAACGCCTCGTCGCACACCGCCAAGCAAACGATCGACTACTTGGCGACGTCAGACGTAGAATTACTAGGTCACCCGCTTTACAGCCCCGACTTCGCACCTTGCGATTTTTATTTATTTAGGAAAATAAAAGAAAAACTAAGAGGAAAACGTTTTATGGACGCCGAAGAAGCAGTGTCTAAATAAAAAAGTTAGAGTATAAATAATGTACACTATGCGCTGAGAGTCTGGTGTCTATACTAGGCGGAAACCTGTGTTACGGATCACCAGGGTCTCCTACACAGGATATTATCGACATAATTAAACAAGCTTTTGTTTGATTGACAAGTGAGCGCTGAGAGCTATTGTATTATTCGTTACTTTTGTGTTATGCGCGCGCGCGCGCGCGCGTGCGTGCGGTGTGTGTGTGTGTGTGTGTGTGTGTGTGTGTGTGTGTGTGTGTGTGTGTGTGTGTTTGTGTGTGTGAGTGATGTATTTGTAAATTACGCCATGTATAAAACGGCCATTTTTAAATTAGTTGTCTTTGGCTAATTTCACAAAGAATATTAGGGTATATATTAGGCAATATTAGGGTATATACTAGGGAATATTAGGGTTTATATTAGGGAATATTAGGGTTTTACTTTAATATTCCCTAATATATACCTAGAAAATAATTTAATTTTAAATAATATATAATTTAGAAAATAATTTAAGTGGCTGATGGCAAAGTGCGGGACTATTAGCATCCTTAGGACATAACCCCATTTTTGTGACAGTTAATATTTTATATTGCAAAATATAACTAAACAGTTGAAATAAATAACCAACTACAAGTAAACTCTTTTGGTATTATAACATATTATATGCACTAAGCATAATTTTGACGAAATTTAACACGTTAATACATGTATTCATTTAAAATATGCTTACCGCGTGACAAGCGTAAATAATAAATTTGAGGTTGGCTTTTCCGAACGCAAATTAGAAAGGGCGACTGATATTTAATTTATTTGTCATTACTCAGAAGCAATTTATACCGTACTTAGTAATTTCTTATCACGATTTTGTTTCACAGAACTTTGTTACAATACCTAATGAGTTCACGTCTATGTTCTTTGAAAATCGTCTGGTTAAAGTTCGCGCTTAATTAATGCCTAAACTACACGATGATAGTCGCTAGCCAATGTACAGAAT